TAATTATATGTTGTTTTTTTTATTATTATTATTACTCTGTTTGTACTTTGCATTTTACAACTCAAGATGACTCACTGTTCAGGTGGGTTAGTGCAACTAACAGCTGGCTCTTAAAAGAAAGGTTTCTTTAAAAATGATTTCAACTTTTAGGCACTACTAATCCCATTTGAATGCTGTCGTGCTCTGCTATAATCATGTTAGACTAAAACATGATCTGTATCAGACTGATATCCAAGCTTTATCATTTGCAGGTTTGCAGAATATTTCACTCTCGAGAGAAAAGGGAAAAAGAGGTGATGTTTAAAAAATATTTCTAGATCTTACAAGTTGGGTTTTAGCAGCAAAGTGGTTTCAGAGCTGGTGCCACCTCTGCTTAACTAGAAAGCCACGTCTAAATTTGTCCGTTAAAGAAATGTTTGGTTTTCCACAATCAAGGAAGCAGCTCTGTGCCAAGTTATTACATCACTAAAACGTCTGTGCAACACACGTTTGATCCTCCCTCTGTAATGTGACCACTGTGCTTAGAATGACAAAGAAGGAAGACAGTCTAAGAAAAAAAATCCAATTATTTTTCCCAGCTTCCTTTCAAACACATGTCACAATATTAGCTGCTATATTTATTCATATTTAAAACAACAAACAACAACTTTCCGATAAGACAATAATCCAGTGTACTGAATTCATAACAGGATTTACGAATTCAGGGATTAATAATCTATCCGAAGGGCTCTGTATGATCTCTAAATGTATATATATATATATATATAAAAAAACTTTAGTCTGGTTAACAGCATATTAAAATAGTTAAATCAACAAGAATTAACAGTTATTTTTACAGCATTTGATTCATATTGCATTCAAATATATTCACTTTCAACATAAAATGCTCAATTAAGACTCCTTAAAAGAAATGTTCCTCCTTTTAGATTATGTTATAACTGGTGTTTAAATATGCCTTTGAACTATGCTATTGCACTTATTAGCTGTTAGTTTATTTAAAAGCAGCAGCTTCAGAAACTACTCAGGGAATATTTTGACAAAAAAGAGAGTTAAAGCATATAAAAACCTAGGCAGTAATTCTTAAAGTGGTTACTCCTGGTTTTGCTCCTACTGTTGGGTCATATGGGCCTAAAATGTTTGCTTAGAAGTACTTCTGCACAAATCTTTTTTTTTTTTCTTTTTTACACAGATCAGTGAATAATTTTTACATGCCTAGCAATAAACTAAAGATACAATATCTTGGTAAAATGTATTGCAACAAAGACTTGAGATGTAGTTTTGAAATTTGTATAATTCTGAACAGAAGAGCCCCTTCAGCAGCTCCATTATTTAGGGGTTGCAACAGCAGGTCACTGCAACTTGAACACAGACGTGGCAGTGGGAAAATATACTGGATGCCCTTCCTTTTTAACACTTCTGGTTTCTGTTTGATATACTAAGACACATGCATCTGAATGCATTCATGAATCATTTCATTAGAAAAGAAAATGTTTCTCTGCAGGTTTCAATCTTACCACTCTCCAGCTCGTTGAGTTGATGGCCTTCGGTAGAGATGTTTTTAATTTCACTGATTGTGTAGACAACCATGGAGGGCTCCTGGATCTCATGATAGGAGTTCTCCACCAAGTTGGACTGCAGGGTTAGGTAGTTCAGTTGTTCAGAGCTCACTCCGGATCCATCCACCTCTACTGTCACTGCATAATCCACCACTATGCCATCCACCCTGGTGGAACAAATATTAAGGATATGTATTCAAACACATATGACATCTGAGGTGAACAAATTGTGGATATGTTCAAACATTTTTTATTCTTAAGTAATTTAGAACTAAAAAGTTAGAGTTAGGTGCATACCGGTACCAGTCCTATCTATGCAAACAGCTTTTACTTTAGATGTTATTGGTTTTATTAAGATATTTAAATAAAACCGATGGATTCAAGTTAGCTTGAATCCATTAAATAATCTTTTATACCTACTTATGAAAGATGAATCCAGATATTTATGTCCAGTGTGAACTGCAGTCATCAAAAGTATGACATGGATGGAAATCTTGCAGCAGACCCTGGGCTCTGGAAAGGCTGCTCTTTGTTTATCTATTGTTAATTCTCCACTATGACCCCATTTGAGGGGCTGATGACAGGCAGCTGAGCACATTCAAAATCACAGGGGCCAGTTTCCCCCCAGTTTATTCTCAGAGACAGATCCAAAGAAAATGCTGATGTTCACATTTAGAGGCAGCTATCATTTACTCAAACTGTTCTAATAATCGAGAATTATCTATTGCACTGTTTGCACATTTATTAACAGAATAGAATAAAAGTCAAGGTGTGTTTCGCATTTTATTATGGCATATCTATTCTCATACAATTAGACATCAGAATATTATGCACCTTTTAATTTTATATTAAATTTAGCATTTCAATTGAGCAAACAGTTCTGGTTAAAAAATAAAAATACTTTCTATTTCAAATGTAGTACTTTAAATATCAAGGTGTACTTAATGATTTGGTCTACAAACTTTAAAAGAAAGACCTGACCGTAAACTGTCACTTGTGTAACAAAACAATGCCAGGATAGAGCCTAAAGACCCGACTGCTGCTTTTGCATGATTTAAGTAGCAGAAGTAGAAGCCAAGTGATCCTTCTGTTAAACAGATCAACAGTAATGGTGCCTCAGTCCATAAAATATAGATGTGGGCTGTTTGCAGGACGGTGCACAAAGGTGTATGTTAACGCAATGCAAAGTGGGAAAGGCATCAGCAATGACCTTAGAGAAGCAAGTTTTAATCCAATAAATGCTTTCGTGTTCTGTCTGTAGAACTAAAGCTTCAATGTTCAATAATAAGTGAAACTAAAATAAAGTGCTCAATCTCAGACTCTACAAGGCTAATTTAGCACTTATTACTTATTGTAATGACAGCACAATTCCAAGAACCAAAACTATATATTCAAGTGCAATACTCTAAATAGAGCTTTGCAGTTGGAATGGGGTTTGCACAGTTCTACAACAAGACTCATCCTCTGGACAGATTAGAACTAAAAAGAGTTTTTTGGCAAAAAATTCACACAGTATATTAACACAAACTCCCCATGCCAGCTGTAAAGCATGGTGGTGTAGGTGGTTCATGAGGGCCATAGGACCTGGACAACATGCAGTTATTTGTGTGAGCTATAAAGTAGAATTATAAAGTCTTACTTTTTGAGATTCATTACAAGATATACATTGAGAGTTTACTAGAAAACCACTTGTTAAATTATATACATCGACTATATGAAAAAAAAGAAAAAACAGTGGCTTTATAAGTGAGAATTTGTTTAGAGGATACATCTTGAATCCATAACAGAAGTATGCAGTCTGCATGCAAATACACCCAACACAGATTGAACTTCTATCACTACTCTGCTGATGAACAAAGTAGAGAGAAATGTAAACCTTATGCTCTCTAAGAAGAGAGAGGCTTATGTTAGTGGTCAAACAGCAATGCAATGTGCTTTCGGTTTCTTTTCAATCTGTGTACCAGGTGGCTTTGCTTTCTTCTTTCTGTTGAGTTTCTAACATTTTATAACCACCCCACCATCACGCTCAGCTCCATGAGGTTCTACAGTTCAGGTAATCGTCTCTACAGAGGAGCACCTGAGTCTCGGTAGGACCAATCCTGATCCTGCTCAACGAGTGTTTGACTGAACTAAGATCAATAACACACGCAACTAGTGATACATCTAAATCTAGCAGAGGAATTAAAGGGATCTGTGGGATAAAACACAACACAACTCTTAAAGGCCAAATGACCACTAATCACTCACCACTGAGTGTCTTTCTGTGGTCTAGATGAACAAGAAGGAAGTGTTAATTTTCCTCTGAGAGCAGAGATGGGATTAGCATGATAAAACGAGGTGCACTGTAAAAAAACTGACCTGAAATCAATTACAGACACACCCTTAAATCCAGGAAGCCCCTCTAGAGCATCTTCTATCTGCACAACACAACCAGGTATAAGATTAAAGCAATCTTTAATTCGTTCTAATTCTCAAAGAGTCATAACAAACTGCTGTGTAAATCTCAAATTCAGTTTAATGTGATTAAAAGAAATCTGTTTGTGATGTCATCGTTTAATGTTCGATCTTCATCAGCCCTCACCAGGGCACAGTCAGTTCTAGATTTAAAAAGTCCTGAAAAGGCAGAACACTAACCCTAATGGGCAGCACTAATAAAAACACTCTTCAGAGAGAACATTGTTACTGACAGAAGACTCAAAGTTAGGGATGTTTGGTATAGTCAGGATGGAGTGCAGGGAGATATATGAAGCTGTTTAAAAGCAAGCTGTATTTTCTGTGACATGTTAGTGGTTCAGAGGAGTGGTGGCCTAGTGGTTAGGGCATAGAGCTTGGAATCCTGAGGTTGTGAGTTTGAGCCCCACTCCCACAGACTGCTGCTCTGGGTCCCTGAGCAAGACCCTCAACCCCACACTGCTCCCCGGGCGCCGCACAATGGCAGCCCACTGCTCCCCAAAGGGATGGGTTATATGCAGAGAGTTAATTTCATTGTTCTTTACTTGTGACAAAAGTTGAATTCTATTCTATTCAGGCTGCGAAAGAGTGGGAGAAAGCAAAACTAACAGGAAGGCTGAAGGAAGAATTACACAGTGGTTTTATTTATCCATTTCAGCTCCAAACCTCTATCTCCTATCTATAATGCTTGATTGAGGAATGTTGGCATCCATGTTGGTGCTGCTGAAATCAACACCTTTGTTTATAGATGTTGGAGCCTATTATCCAGTGTAGTCCTGTTTCTCTGACTTTGACTGGCTGGATGTGCTCTCTTCATCCTCTGACATGGCGGCTGGCTCTGCGCTCATCTGCCTGGCTGTGTGTTTCCTGGACGGGGCCATCTATGAAGCTGGTTTACAGCTGCTTTTTGTATCTCTGCTTCTGTCTCCTTGAACCCCAGTCAGCCTCGGCAGATGGCCGCTCAACACTGAGCCTGGTTCTGCTGGAGGTTTCGTCCTGTTAAAATGGGAGTTTTTCCTCTCCGCTGTCGCTACAAGCATGCTTGATTTGAGTGGATTGCACTCAAGTCAATGTGACGATGTAATCAACTGGTTTTCATTAGATAGAAACTTTAAAACAATTTGACTGTAGGATCTGTTGATTTATCTCTAAGGTGCCTTCGAAATGACATGTGTTGTGAATTGGCGCTATATAAATAAATTGAATTGAACTGAACTGAATTGTAAGTCTCTGAGTCAATGTATCTAAAATGTGCACGCACAGACAGTCGCAGTAATGCCAGCTATGCAATCTATGCTAATCACTACCTTAAGCTTCCAAGATCATTTAACAGAAAAATCTCCTATTTTTTCTCTCCTTTTTTGTATTTGTAAGATTTGTATTAATATTTTTAACCAAAAAAAGCTAAAGCATAAAAGATGGCCACAAATCTCTATTTATCGCACTATATTTCTTTATTGTTTTGCTTTAACTCTGAAAGCTATTCTAAAAAGGCAAAAAGAAAGCAGCCACTGAAATTTAAATCTTGTTTTCCAATGCAAAATAAATAATCCTGTACATATCATACACTAAACCTATTTATTCAAACTTTTAAATTAAATGGTGTAAGGTCAAGAGGCTTATATATATTTTGCCTGAAAACACATGCTCACTTTAAAGTATGCAATACTGCATGCTTAGAGGCGTACTGGTATGTGATGCTGATTTTGTTGAAAATGTCAAACAAAAGGTAAAAGAAGTAAGGAACCAGGAAAACAGACCGAAATCATAACAAATACACACCATCACCTAATTCCAACTATGACCCAAAACCCAAATACTGTTTGTTACAAAGATACTTATTCTAGGTTATGTGTGTTTTGGAATAGCTTGAAATCCCTAGTTGTATTAAATATGATTAAAAACACTCACAAGAACTTTTTTTGAATTTTCCATGAGGTTGTGAAATTGGCTCAGAAAGTGATATCCCTGCAGATTCTTGAATGTGCAAAATCTTTTCTAAAGAAATATCCTAAAGATGTATTTTTCACCAATGAAGTAATTATTCTACCATTTCAAAATGCAAGCTATGAATAAACCATGAAGCATTATCAGGTAGGCTTTGTTCATCAAGAACATCCTATGCACTCATAATGAAACAGAACTAGACTGAGCTTGACACTGACCTTGTCTGCAAGGTCTCTGCTGAGCATCTGGAACTTGAGGCTGGCAGGATTTTTGAGGTCTTCACAGAAGGCCTCTCCTGTTAGGAGGATGCTTAGCTCCACCACCTGCTCCAGCACAGTGGCAGACGTGGCCTTAACTGGGATTTCATTGAACAGCTGTAATAAAAAAAAAAAAACATAATTACTGGTGGAAAACACACTTCTTTATGATGCTTTTATTATCTCTGTGTACTTACTGGAGTGTCGACCACTTCTGGTGAAACAGTGGCTGGATTATGCTCTCCTTGATCTAAATCTTTTGTTAATGAAAATAAAAAGGGTGTTAAATAAGACAAGCATTGGAGGAATAAATATTGAGCCTTAGGAAAGTTTTCACATTAAACCACCACATTGTGCAAAGAGCACAAAAAAAGCTATCTTATATGGATGCACTGTATATACTGTATATATATCCATGCACCTTTTACTTCCTTTGGGATATTCTTCCCTAACCCTAACCCTTCATCTTTGACTATTTGAGCTAATATAACGAGTACATTTCTCCACTGTGAGATCAATAGTCAATCAATCAATCAATCAATTATTCAAGTGTTTATGACACTGACCTTCTTGTGGCTGCTCTGCCATTAAAAAAGGAAACTATAACTATTTCTAGTGTTCATAAACTGTCAGACTGTGTTATGAATCTCTGCGGCTCCTTCAGAATTATAATGGACCTCTTGGAGCTTCTTTATTAAAACTATCCTTATCCAATCTGTAAGTAGTAATATTATAATTACAATAAATATTATTGAGTCTGATTTGCGATAAGATGTTCAAATATTTTAAAGCGTCTTAAACTAACTCCGCTTTTAATTTCTTCACATCTTGATCCTGAACCATCTGCTGTGCTCCAGCCCACACAGGGGTTGATTCTGTTTACTAACAAGGAGACTTATCAAAACAAACAGTTTGGAAAAATTTAAAAATGGGCCAAAATATTATATAGTAATCCCTCAACTGGAATATTAACTAACAATAACATATCTAAGCCAATTAAGATTAATAGAGGCTGCAGACGGGGCTGCCCATTGTCACCTTTACTATTCACTCTGGCAATAGAGCCTTTTGCAATTGCGATTCGCTCACACCCTCATCTCACTAGAATTACTGTGGGACCTATGGAGCATAGTAGCACTGTAGGGCGAGCGTGGCGTTGGATGTAGAAGTTTGCCCTGAAATCGAAGGGTTGACGGTTCAAGCCCCAGCTTTCAGTGTCGTTGTGTCCTTGGGCAAGACACTTCACCTGCATTGTCTACTGATGGTGGTCAGAGGGCCCAGTGGCGCCAGTGTACTGCAGCCCTGCTTCTGTCAGGGCAGCTGTGGCTACAATGTAGCTCGCCACACAGTTGTGAGTGTGTGCGTGAATGGGTGAATGAATGTATTGTAAAGCGCTTTGGTCAAGTCTCCTGTCTTGAATAAAGGCGCTATATAAGTACATGCCATTTACCATTTACCATAGGATCTCCTTGTTTGCAGATGATGTTGTCTTGTTCATATCAAAATAAAATCAATTAATACAAATTATCATGGAAATAATATGATCATGTGAGATTTCTGATACAAAATTAAAAAAACAAGAATGCAAATGAAAGAATAAACCCATCTTCAGATGTCTTGCAGTTTAAAATCTTTAATGATTTTAAACATTTAGGGGTACACATTTCTTCAGATCTTGATCAGGTTGTTGCGACCAATTCTAAACATATATTGAATAAAGTAGAAAGATGGATGCTATTACCAGTATCTATGATTGGAAGAATAAATATAATAAAAATGAATGTATTGCCAAAGGTACTCTATATATTTCAGAATGTTGCTTTTCCACCTCCTGTTGAATTCTTCTCACAAATTAAGAAAAGGATGTTATGTTTCCTATGGAACACCAGGAAGTCCAGATGCCGTTTGTCTCTGCCCGAATTCTCACTTGTATTGTTATGCTGTGCAGTTGTGGTCTATGATGTTCCATTACAGTAATCATTCTCCACATTGGATTGATATGGAGACTCAGGATTTAAATTGAACTTTTCCTTCATATTTGTATTCAAATTCGATATTAAAGCTTCTGAAATACACTAAAAATCTGTTTCTTAAAATATGATATGGAGAGACGTAAATAGAATTTTAAATGAAACAAATAGTATGTCTTTGTTCAGCCCGGTGTTGGGTAACCAGTCTTTTGTACCTGGAAGAACTGATCCAACATTCAAAGTCTGGAAAAACAAAAGACTTCAAATGATTCAGAATCTTTATGTACCAGGCTCAGACCTAACTAATGAACTTTTAATATCTGCAGCATAAATTTAATCTGGATAAGAAACATTTCTTTAAATATCTTCAACTCAGAAACTTCATAAGAACGAATCAAAATAATGAGTTGAAGAAGCCTGCCATGTGAACTTTAGAAAGAATGTTAAGAAAGAATGTTTGAAAAAAGGTATCATAACAGAGTTTTATAAATCAATGATGTTACAAATTTCAGAAGGATCTCATTATAGACTTAAGGCTTGGAAAGAAGACTTATTGATAGAGTTAACAGAGGAAGATTGGCAGGCAGCATGTAAATTGGCCCACACCAGCTCTATTAATACATCTCTTAACCCTTTAAAGCCCGATCCAAGAATAAAACAAAACAGAAAATTACTTTTTTTTTAGTTTGAAGTCCTTATTTGGCCTTTTAACAAAAGAAAAAACTGAGAAAAAATTTTGATATTAATAATTTATTACTATGCGATAAGTCAAGATTATTTTTTGTGTAGTCTTCTGCCCTCTGTTATCAGGTATATCTGACTGCTAAAATTTTAAGAAATATATTTTGGAAATAAAAAAAAAAAAAAAAAAAAAGAACNAAACAATTTGACTGTAGGATCTGTTGATTTATCTCTAAGGTGCCTTCGAAATGACATGTGTTGTGAATTGGCGCTATATAAATAAATTGAATTGAACTGAACTGAATTGTAAGTCTCTGAGTCAATGTATCTAAAATGTGCACGCACAGACAGTCGCAGTAATGCCAGCTATGCAATCTATGCTAATCACTACCTTAAGCTTCCAAGATCATTTAACAGAAAAATCTCCTATTTTTTCTCTCCTTTTTTGTATTTGTAAGATTTGTATTAATATTTTTAACCAAAAAAAGCTAAAGCATAAAAGATGGCCACAAATCTCTATTTATCGCACTATATTTCTTTATTGTTTTGCTTTAACTCTGAAAGCTATTCTAAAAAGGCAAAAAGAAAGCAGCCACTGAAATTTAAATCTTGTTTTCCAATGCAAAATAAATAATCCTGTACATATCATACACTAAACCTATTTATTCAAACTTTTAAATTAAATGGTGTAAGGTCAAGAGGCTTATATATATTTTGCCTGAAAACACATGCTCACTTTAAAGTATGCAATACTGCATGCTTAGAGGCGTACTGGTATGTGATGCTGATTTTGTTGAAAATGTCAAACAAAAGGTAAAAGAAGTAAGGAACCAGGAAAACAGACCGAAATCATAACAAATACACACCATCACCTAATTCCAACTATGACCCAAAACCCAAATACTGTTTGTTACAAAGATACTTATTCTAGGTTATGTGTGTTTTGGAATAGCTTGAAATCCCTAGTTGTATTAAATATGATTAAAAACACTCACAAGAACTTTTTTTGAATTTTCCATGAGGTTGTGAAATTGGCTCAGAAAGTGATATCCCTGCAGATTCTTGAATGTGCAAAATCTTTTCTAAAGAAATATCCTAAAGATGTATTTTTCACCAATGAAGTAATTATTCTACCATTTCAAAATGCAAGCTATGAATAAACCATGAAGCATTATCAGGTAGGCTTTGTTCATCAAGAACATCCTATGCACTCATAATGAAACAGAACTAGACGCAGCTTGACACTGACCTTTTCTGCAAGGTCTCTGCTGAGCATCTGGAACTTGAGGCTGGCAGGATTTTTGAGGTCTTCACAGAAGGCCTCTCCTGTTAGGAGGATGCTTAGCTCCACCACCTGCTCCAGCACAGTGGCAGATGTGGCCTTAACTGGGATTTCATTGAACAGCTGTAATAAAAAAAACAACATATAATTACTGGTTGAAAACACACTGATTTATGATGCTTTTATTATCTCTGTGTACTTACTGGAGTGTCGACCACTTCTGGTGAAACAGTGGCTGGATTATGCTCTCCTTGATCTAAATCTTGAGTACGGTCTGTTTTGTTAATGAAAATAAAAAGGGTGTTAAATAAGACAAGCATTGGAGGAATAAAAATTGAGCCTTGCAAAGTATTATTTGGGAAAGTTTCCACATTAAACCACCACATGGTGCAAAGTGCACAAAAAAAGCAATCATATATGGATGCACTGTATATACTGTATATATTAATGCACCTTTTCTTCCTTTGACATATTCTGCTTCTTTGACTATTTGAGCTAATATAACGAGTCCATTTCTCCACTGTGAGATCAATAAAGTCAATCAATCAATCAATCAATCAAGTGTTTATGACATTGACCTTCTTGTGGCTCCTCTGCCATTAAAAAAGGAAACTATTACTATTTGTAGTGTTCATAACCTGTCAGACTGTCTTATGAATTTCTGCGGCTCCTTAAGAATTATGATGGACCTCTTGGAGCACCTTTATTAAAACTGTCCTTATCCAATCTGTAAGTACTAATATTATTATTACAATAAATATTATTGAGTCTTGATTTGCGATAAGGTGTGCAAATCTTTTAAAACGTCTTAAACTAACTCAGCTTTTAATTTCTTCACAACTTGATCCTGAACCATCTGCTGTGCTCCAGCCCACACAGGGGTTGATTCTGTTTACTAACAAGGAGACAGTTTGGAAAATTTTTATTGTGGAAACAACTTTGTAAAATGGGTCAAAATATTATAGAGTAATCCCTAAACTGAAATATTAACTAACAAAAAATATCTAAGCCAATTAAGATTAATAGAGGCGTCACCTTTACTATTCACTCTGGCAATAGAGCCTTTTGCTATTGCGATTCGCTCACACCCTCATCTCACTGGAATTACTGTTGGACCTATGGAGCATAGTAGCACTGTAGGACGACAGTGGCGTTGGATGTAGAAGTTTGCCCTGAAATCGAAGGGTTGACGGTTCAAGCCCCAGCTTTCAGTGTTGTTGTGTCCTTGGGCAAGACACTTCACCTGCATTGTCTACTGATGGTGGTCAGAGGGCCCAGTGGCGCCAGTGTACTGCAGCCCTGCTTCTGTCAGGGCAGCTGTGGCTACAATGTAGCTCGCCACACAGTTGTGAGTGTGTGCGTGAATGGGTGAATGAATGAAGTGTAAAGCGCTTTGGTCAAGTCTCCTGTCTTGAATAAAGGCGCTATATAAGTACATGCCATTTACCATTTACCATAGGATCTCCTTGTTTGCAGATGATGTTGTCTTGTTCATATCAAAATAAAATCAATTAATACAAATTATCATGGAAATAATATGATCATGTGAGATTTCTGATACAAAATTAAAAAAACAAGAATGCAAATGAAAGAATAAACCCATCTTCAGATGTCTTGCAGTTTAAAATCTTTAATGATTTTAAACATTTAGGGGTACACATTTCTTCAGATCTTGATCAGGTTGTTGCGACCAATTCTAAACATATATTGAATAAAGTAGAAAGATGGATGCTATTACCAGTATCTATGATTGGAAGAATAAATATAATAAAAATGAATGTATTGCCAAAGGTACTCTATATATTTCAGAATGTTGCTTTTCCACCTCCTGTTGAATTCTTCTCACAAATTAAGAAAAGGATGTTATGTTTCCTATGGAACACCAGGAAGTCCAGATGCCGTTTGTCTCTGCCCGAATTCTCACTTGTATTGTTATGCTGTGCAGTTGTGGTCTATGATGTTCCATTACAGTAATCATTCTCCACATTGGATTGATATGGAGACTCAGGATTTAAATTGAACTTTTCCTTCATATTTGTATTCAAATTCGATATTAAAGCTTCTGAAATACACTAAAAATCTGTTTCTTAAAATATGATATGGAGAGAAGTAAATAGAATTTTAAATGAAACAAATAGTCTGTCTTTGTTCAGCCCGGTGTTGGGTAACCAGTTTTTTGTACCTGGAAGAACTGATCCAACATTCAAAGTCTGGAAAAACAAAGGACTTCAAATGATTCAGAATCTTTATGTACCAGGCTCAGACCTAATTAATGAACTTTTAATATCTGCAGCATAAATTTAATCTGGATAAGAAACATTTCTTTAAATATCTTCAACTCAGAAACTTCATAAGAACGAATCAAAATAATGAGTTGAAGAAGCCTGCCATGTGAACTTTAGAAAGAATGTTAACAAAGAATGTTTGAAGAAAGGTATCATAACAGAGTTTTATAAATCAATGATGTTACAAATTTCAGAAGGATCTCATTATAGACTTAAGGCTTGGAAAGAAGACTTATTGATAGAGTTAACAGAGGAAGATTGGCAGGCAGCATGTAAATTGGCCCACACCAGCTCTATTAACACATCTCTTAACCCTTTAAAGCCCGATCCAAGAATAAAACAAAACAGAAAATTACTTTTTTTTTAGTTTGAAGTCCTTATTTGGCCTTTTAACAAAAGAAAAAACAGAGAAAAAATTTTGATATTAATAATTTATTACTATGCGATAAGTCAAGATTATTTTTTGTGTAGTCTTCTGCCCTCTGTTATCAGGTATATCTGACTGCTAAAATTTTAAGAAATATATTTTGGAAATAAAAAAAAAAAAAAAAAAAAGAACTAAAGAACTAACCAATACTCCAATACCTTTTATTTAGGAGAAACAGAGTTGAGAGTATTGGACAGAAATGCACGACTCAGTTTATGTTGTTATAGTGAAAACCTTTAAATTGATTATTTTCTCTCCACTTCTAAAAACCTGCTGCTTTGTGTTGGTGTATCACGTCAAACCACAGTAAAGTTTCTGGAGGTAACTTGATGAGATTCTGAATTGTCTTAAATGTTAATCTGAGATTATCTAATCTTTTTTAAGGTTCTCTCCTTTGTGACTTCTTTTTGAGTTTTTATTTATATTATTCTGTTTTCTTGGTCATCGGTTTCTTTGTTTTCTTTGTTTCCTTGTTATATTTACGCAGTGTCGTGTTTTTTGTGTTGCTCTCTGTTGCCCCCTTGTGCCCGTCTCCTTTCTCCTAATTTCTAGTTGCTTCTATCCACACCTGCTCCCTATCAGCTGATTACCCCAGTCTTTGTTCTGTCTCCCATATATACACCTCCTGTGCAGTTTCTCTGAGCTTTTTTCTCGTTGTTACTTTGCTCCTTATGTGTGTTTTCCTCTGGTTTCTGGTTTTCTGTATTTTGTTCTTGGATTTTGCTTCTGTTGCCTTTTTTTGCATAATCATTAAATCAGCAAAAACTAATCTCTGCCTCCTTCTACTCTGCGTTTGGGTCCACAACCCCATCCACCACCTTTGACAGTTTCAAGCTCACGTCAAAAGTGCAAAAGAGTCTCTACAACACGTTAGCTAACAGACAGAATGGTCCTTGATATATTTATAACAGGCATGTGAGAGCATTGCAGTAGTATTGACAGAAATCACACTGACCAAACTCAGCGGCTTCAACTTTTTCTGAACTCGCTGGTGATGGTGTGCTGTAAAACAGGAAAAAAAAAAGTTTAGATTAGGTTAATCCCATGTTACAAGGCCATGCACACTGGAGAAAGACAGGAACAAAAGTTAACAGATAGGAACTAAGTGTGTTTTTTTCCTCATGAAGATTAGCTCAGCCACATTTAATCAGGTAATATATTTTCTGCCTTAAATTCAGTAAATTAAGGCAAAACAAGCTGACATTTATAATTGCAATAAAGATTTGTTTTTTATATTAATCATTAGAATTGCAAAAGCTGAAATTTTCAAGACATTTTAGTAATATTTACAAATTGTTAACCAGACAAAAGTAAAACAAAACAAAAAAAAATTGTTTCATTCATCTGTTATGGTTTATAATAACAAATATACCACTGAGTTATAACTCCACCTGGTTAAAGATTAAACTGGTTATTAGATCCTTGAGATGTGTTTCAGATAGTGACTTATCAGATAAGTAGCAATTTTTTTATACATTTGAGTAAATTATTTAAAACTAAACTGCAAGGTAAAATAATACCAACAGTGTTGTCCTTTAAAAAAAGAGAGCTCAAACAAATATCTGCATTTACAGTGAGGGAAATACTGATTTGTTCCCTTACTAATGTTCAACGCCCTCCATCCCCACAAACAAAAGAATAGATTATTTGGGAGTGACGTGTTATTGTGAGACAGAATAAAGCTGCAAAATATTACATTTTAGAAATCAATTTGCATGTCATGAAGTGATGTATTAGATCTAAAGCAAAATAACACTAGAAGTTGCTTTCCTCATAAGGGCCTGGCCAAGACATTTCTCACAGTTCATTACTCACAACTCAGTGAGGGTTTTGCTGCACTCTTCTGTAGGAAAACTCTCATCCCACTTGAAATGCTTGCTACATCCAAATATGTTAAGTTAATGTTAAATATGGAGTGACGTCTGAACTGCTTAGGCCACAAACTCATGGCCTAAAAATGCTTCATCTTCAGACACTCCTTTGTTTGCTTAGTGGTGTGTTTTAGCTCTACGTCTTATTGTGAAAGAAAACCAGACACCATTACTGTATTTTTGCTGAGGTAAAACACTTTGGATCCCAGATTTTACCGCAGATGGTGAAACAGAAAAAACGGGTATGAAGTATAATGCTCCCAAACAAGAGATCAGCTGTAGGATGATGATCTGACCACAGAACGCGTGTTTATTCTACAGCATCGCTGCATAACCAATTATTTTGACCTTATCTTGGTCATAATCCCATAATCTTTTAAATAAGATTTTTTCTTTTTATTAAAGAAAGATGAACATTTATAGGAAGTTTGGTAAGAAGGCTGCCATCTTAGATTTTTGCTGATGTTCTGTAGCCTACAGCTCTTACATACTTTTATTTTTTTTTCTTTTATTGTCCAGTATTGTTTTTCCATTGGGAAAGAGTCAGTGCGAGGTTTTGAAAAGGCACAAACAGGCGTTTGCCAAAGATTACTAAATTACATGCAAATCAGTCTGTTTTCTTTTCTGTGATATATTTTTTTTCAGATTTCCCCATTGCAATTTGTTCATTTATACAGTATGCAAATAAAAAAAAACTAAGAGAATAAACAGCAGAGGAACACATTATGTTCCAAGCAACTCAGTAAATTTGCCTTTCTGAATCCTTGGGATTCAAAGTTCAATAGATCTGAAGATGTGTTGGATTATAGTTGAGGGAATATGAACAGGTAAGGTTGAAGGGCGTTAACAAGCTCACCTGCACATATGCTTCCAGGATCTGGTGGGCTCGCTACAGACGGTGGGAAAAATGACATGTTTACCAAAAAACAGGTTTCATGGTTTAAAAAAAAAAACATGCATGAGTCAGTTAAAGAGGAAGAGAGTGTCTTTACCTTTTCAAAGCTACATGCGACATTCTCTGAAAATATAAAGAAAAAGTTAGAAACCTCAGTACAACCAGCCAGCAGACATATTTATTGAGCTCAGATTTCTGTCTATGTAAATCTTTATTGTACCTACTTACCTGTTTAACCAGAGCTTGATGCTCCTCTGACTGGCTAAAGTAGCTGCCAATATCCTGGGCAGTGACCAACCCTTCCTGGCACTTGTTCATCCAGCTTTGGTACTCGCCTTGTTCAGGCAGTCGGTCCCAGAAGATCTTAAAAGCCTCCCACACAGTCTCCTGGCACACTGGTAACCAGATAAAATGAGGCCATCAGCTTATTAACCGAAACCTGCTGGGCTTCTTAATTGCTAATTGACTTTGGATGGTGTGCACTGGGACAAGGTTAACTACTTCTTATTTCAATTTATACTTCCTCATCAGCAGACATGTTTAGAATAAATCTAACAATGGAAGGTTAACAGGTACAAAAGCTAAAGGGTTAAACCTAGAGCTCTAAGCTGCATTTAGGAGTATGCCTACTGGGCTTTGCTTTATTTTCATTTTGTTGGAAATGTATCCCATAATATAGGAGATTATTTGTAGATCTAACCCTAAATGATTCCACACTATTAACCATCACAGTTAGCAATAAGGCTGCTCAGGCAATTGTAGACAACATGAATGAGTCACAGTATTACATTTATTGATGAAATTTCCTTATTACTCCTTATTATCTCCTAAGGTCTTAATTAGATAAAACTAAATATATTGGGGTCTGACAGCAGTGAAAGAAATAGTTTACAGTCTTATTTTCGATTTTCCTTTTTTTCAGAAATGTATTTATTTATCTATTTAATATTGTGCTTGAATTAAAGCCTAAACAATAGAATTTAAAAACTATATTGTTGTATATCATGTCATCCAAAACGTTTAACATAATGTTAACATACAGAAAAATAGCCAAAGTGATTAGCCATAATTAAGGGAACCATCTTCACTCTCCACAAAACGTCACACGACGTCGCTAGTGTGGTGCTTTTTAGTTGCCTTTCAGTAGTGGTGGGTGAAGTACTAAACAGTAGTCAAATATTACTCAACGAAAAGCAAAAACCAAAAAAAAACAACAACTATAAGTCCAACATCTATTCAAGTTCAATTATTCAAGTATTGAAGTACCGACTTTTGATGTTCTTTTTTGCGGGTGGATCATCTAAATAAGTGGTCCTCCTAATTGTCAATCATTCTGGTGAAATGGTTACCTAAGACTGTCCTACGTGCTCGTCCTCAGTTAGCCATCTTTTTCTGCGCATTTTTATGTGCTGAGCTACGGTTTCATACGATCATTGAAGCTCGCCTTTCTCACCTCAGTTCTTTGAAAATGGCCAAAGGTCGTAAGAGAATAGGTGTCTACGAAGTGTATGAGAAGAAGTGAAATGCTTCAGAAGAGAGAAACAAGACCAGAGTGTTTTTGGGGGGATTCTTTCATGCGATGGCGTACGCTGAAAGCACAGGTCGGCCTTCCCACTGATGCCTCGCTTGCAAAGTTTCTACTGGACAGGTAAAGTTTGGCATGCTATTTAGAGAAATCCAATTCACATCACTGCTAGTAAATGTTATCTACCTCTATATTGTAACTTTACAGGGAATATAAGTTTATTTATTTTGCAATTTGCAAAATAGTTAGTAGTGGTAATTGTTAGTAGTTATATGGTGGCCAATATGTCCAAATTTGTAATGCAGCACATACTCAAACACAGATACTAGCATGTCATGATGTTTTTTTTATGTACCAGTAGTCTTTTATGCGGAGAAATCCTTATATATTAATATGGTTGAGATGAGATCCATCCAAGCTACCGTCTTATCATTGCATCCCCGCACATCTTCGATGAGAAATGGGCTCATGCATGCTCTCGCACGCTTTTAATAGGCGTTCCCTCACAGGAGCAGGTACAGGGTTCTGCATGTCCTTTTTTTTTTTAAGTGGAGATTTTTTCATTTTCTTTTTTCAAAATTTGTGAAAATACTTCACTGTAGCTTTAATTATTCAAAAGTACAAGCATTTTAAAGTACTTACTGTAATTATTAGATTTTCTAATATCAGTACATTTCTTTATCATTTTCAGAGTAATTTTAAAGTACCCTGTCATTTTCAGAAACCTCCTGATGCATTGATGTGCAGAACCAGCTGCTACAGATTCTACACCACATCAAAAGAACTTCAGCAAAACATTGCAACAAAAAATAAGGAATCTGGAGTCTTGATTCTCCTTATACGTTCACCATGGAATAGAGGTTCAAGGTTGAATCCATTTCCACAAAGAAACCACAACACTGACTTGAGAACTCCTACTGAACAACTTGGCCACATGGCAACAAGTCACGCCTTAATAAAATGTATAAACTACAAATTATATCTGCCCTGAGTTTCTCACATTTGTGGAATGTCAGGAAATCTCTAAAACACTGGGGTCCAAATTAAGTCCTAAGGGCTGCTATCTTCCATGTTGAAATAGCATTTCAAGAAAGAAAAACAGCAACAGCAGATTAAAAAGGGAAGCTGAGCTAAAAGGAACCAGTAACTAGCAGCTTCCTAGAGATGAAGTGGAGTAGAAAGTACAATATTAGACTATGAAATGTCTAACATTGTACAAAAAAATGACTCAAGCAAAGATATTCAAAAATGTACTTAAGTACAGTAATCAAGTAAATGTACTTTGTTACTTTCCACCACCTCTTCATCCAGCCATGGGATGGATGAAGAGGTGGTGCATGGTAGGTCAGACCCTGGGGACTCATTCCCTGAAACTCTAGCCGACATCAAGGGGCAGGAAACACTTATCACTAAGACACGGCCATAGATTGATGAGGAAGGAGTCCACATGCCCAGTATGACCTGGATCTACAAACACTAATGCTGCATATATTCATGTTTAATTGTCTAACTGAAGTCTTTCCTATTTTATCAATAAAAAGTTAAATTTGTCATTTTCAAATTGAGTTACTTGAAAATATATTTTCTATATGTTTTGTTTTGCATCTTTCTTTCTTAATTAAAAGGTTTAAAGCTGATAGTCTTTCCTTAAACATTGATGAATGGCTGTTGATCCTTTCAAAGAAAGAGCTCAACATTTACCTACTGTAAGTCTAAGAAACCGTATGGAAGCAGCAACCACTGACTTTTCTTGAACAAAGAAAAACTTCAGTGCTCAGATGTAAATGATTTATAATAACAAAGTAAAACAGAGGAAATGTCCATGTTAAAATAAATGAAAAACTAAAATCAGAAATAAATCATGAAGGTAAATCCAGCTCCAGAGGGAGAGTTTAAAGCTTGGTTTTCAATGAACTGATTGTGCTGCTTGGTAAAAGAGATGGATGTGCTCTGGTCTTGTTTCAATTTTCATCACATTGCAGTGAAGGCCTTTCCACTTGATTGTTTAAAGAATACCTCAACAGATTCAGTATAAATCACCAAATAGTAGGAATGTTGTTTAAACAATCCAATTAATTTAATGATTGCATTTCAGAGCCAGAGAAAACAAAATAACTAATTCCTGACCATACATCACTTATATGTAAGACTTTTAAAAATGTTTACCCTCGGGCCTGTTCTAAGTTAGCTTTATGGGGATCTGTCATTACAGAGGAGTAAAATAAATCACAGCAAATATAACAGATGTTTTATCTTTTTAAAGACTTTCCCTTTTGACAAATGAATGATTTTATAAATTGCGTTAATCACTCTCTGCACATTGCATTAGACCATAAAGCAAAACACTAAGAAACTTAAAGGAAAGCCACTGCAGCACAGTTTTCTTTATTAATAGAGGAGAATAAGACTAATCCTGGATTTCATTCAAGACAATTACAAAACTCACACAGAGCCATAGCTCTGTTGATCCCCCAGCTTTAACCAGTAATAACTTTATGGGAATCTTTTTAAATAAGATACATTTTTCCTAAAGATAACCTAAGTGGCACTGTTTCAAATATGATTGTTAAAGATTTCCAGTCCAGAAGCACTTCAAAACTAGTCCATGCATTTGTTTCTTTAAGACTGGATTATTGTAATCATTTATATCAGGAAAGCCACAATCTGTAATTAAAAAGCCTGCAGACAGAGATTGTTTAATTTAAAACTCACTCTCTTGTGTATAAAGAATAGAATGGGAGGCAGATCTTTTAGTTATCGGGCTCCTCTCCTGTGGAACTATTAGTTTTAATCCGTGAGGCAGACACCCTGTCTACTTTTAACACTAGGCTTAACACTTTCCTTTTTGATAAAGCTTATAGTTGCAATGGGTCAGGTTATCCTGAGTTACCTCTACAGTTATGTTGCTCACGACCACTTTTATCCTTCTGCAACATTTGACTTTTATTCTCCGATTTTGCATTGTTTGTTAGTTCAACTTCAACATTTTTGTTCTCTCTGCTTTTTCAGATACTTGCTTCATCTGGCCTGGCACTCTGGTTAACTGTGGCAGCATCAGCTGGGCTGCTGCCTTCAACAACTTAAATTAGAGATGATAGAGTTGGGTCTGTTTTTAAAGTGTTTAGTCCTGTTTCTCTCCTAGACATGGCTAGGGGTTTACTAGCCACCTATGGAGCTAGTGAACCGTTACCTTCTTTCACCTAGAAAGTATCAATTGATTAATACCGCTGGTATAATAATTGATCCCATTGTTGTTTAGCTATTATATTAATGCAAATATTTAAATAAATAACATCAAAATATATAGCGATGGTGTTTTAGGTCGTGATTAGAGCTACCTCTTTTAGAAAAAATTATTTTTTAGCATTTTATGCTTATTTTGCTGCTAAAACAAGTGGATGATAATTATTACTCAAGGATTTAGACTTCCATTTCCTCACTTAAGGATTTTATGAGCCCATTACACTATTATCTGTTGCTTAAATCTGCTTTATATATTTGAATACTTTCATATTATTCCCCCGTTATCTCTTCTCTGCCACATTAAGGACTGTTGTTAAGCTTGGGTTTGCCATTTAACTGCGGAATTGTTGTTTAAAAATGTTTTAAGTTTGCATCTCAGAATGAACTGCAAGCCACTAAGCAGTGGAATAGTGTCAACAAATAGTGAAAAGACTTTCCTGATTCTGGAGGCATTTCTAGAGTTGCTGGCACCAAAGGTAAGGATGTGCAAAAAGCTTTCATTTTACTTTTCATGGAGATAAATGTGCCCTTCATTGTTGCAGTTTGACAACAGTGACTTTTAAAGATTGAATTGTTTTTTTTTTACCTCTCTTTCTCTCCTGCTGGCCAAATAAATACAGCTCGTCTTATTTCCACTCATTTTAAATGTCTCAATTTTTGCTTTGACTTTGAATGTGCAAACTATCTTATTGGAAGGATGTTTCTTTCTTATGTCCCATTTTGATGCCAAGCTGTGAGAAAAATTGACGCTTTATCACTTCATACTTATACCGTATAGACCAGACATGACCGAAGTGGGTCCTTGAGGGCCGCTGTCCTGCAGGTTTTAGAGGTTTCCCTGCTCCAACAGAGATGATTTTAATTGATAGCTGATTAACAGGCTTTTGCTGAACTGCAATCATCAGAATCATCTGTGCTAGGACAGGAAAACCTCTAAACTTAGACAACTTTTATGGTAATTTTGTATACACAGAGTATATACAAAACGAAATTTCGTTTTGTACAGCTTTCAGAGAGCAAATAAGTAGCAGCTTAGCAGTGAAATGAACGTTTCCATTCCATAAAGTGCAGCAGTGATCAAATGTAAACAGCGTGGGAGAAAAACAAGGTGCAAAACGCATTGATATGGAAGTTTAGAGCAGTGCAAAGACAAAAATATGGTGCAAAAATGCAGTAAAAAAAAAAAAAGAAAAAGAGTACTTCTGGTTTTGGTGTTATCAGTTTCACTTAAACAGTATACTGAATGTTGTTATAGTAATTGATGCTATTATAACCGATATACATTAAATATGTAAGAATTGTTTCAGTTCCTTTTCTTTATTTCCTATTTTAAAATAAAAGTTTTCATATTTCTTTTAATTTGTGTAACATTACATAATGTTTAAATACTAAATCACACATAATGATTAGTAACTCTTGCTTAAGTCATTTCTTATATGGTTAATGTTTGCAGTTACTTGAATAGAAATAAGATGAAGTATTGCTACCTGAGCACAATTTATAGGTACCCTACCTATAAGCTTAATTCTCAAGGTGTTATTCTCCGCTTTCTGGATTTTAAGGCTTTTTAAGCATCAGTCTTCAGTACTGCAGTGACCGTAGTGATGTTTTACCTTTAGTTGAGTTTTAGTCCAGTTTCTGGTGGTAATGTTTAGTATTAAGGAATAAAAGCCATACTTAAAAACGGCTTGTTCATATTAGGAAAACCTGCCACCTGCTGAGACGTGCTTCCTTCTCAGAGAGGCCTGATTTAGTGTTGAGGGCTCGGGTTAATGTTCTTTTATATTTGGTTAAAGTGACTCTGTGAGATTACAGCAGACTTCCTAAGTGTATACCTGAAGAGATCTGATTTTAGCATCAAACCGCAGCACAGGAGGACAGGGTTGCCTCCCTGCTGTCTGGGCTGCATCTTACCTCTGAGGTGGAAGTAGCCCAGATGGTTTGCAACAATATCCTCTGCAGTATCTTGTCCACACAGTCGAAGTCCACCCTGATAAAAAATATTCCTTTTCTTTCTAAAGGTGACTTTTTGACCATCGTGAGACGCCTTCACATCAGACACCCGGATGATTTGTGGGAATGCTGTGGGCTCCTGAAAATGAGGCTGACTCAGGTATCCCATAGAGGAGCCTTCCAGCATGGCATCTAAACAATCGTGTAAGAAATGTCAGAAATCAGGCATTTCTCTGCACTGCTGATAAATACTTAGAATAAGACTGAACATTTTGGTCACTATTGATCTCTTACCTGTGAGTCTGCCCAAAATTATGACCAGACTAAAGACAGCACAGCAGAAAACACGTCTCCAGGAAAGGCTGCTCATTTTAAATCCGAGCTTGGGTTCAAATCCGTTGACTCGGAAAAGGATCAAGCAGACATATCTTTCCTCTCAGCTGATGACAGAGCAGCTTACGACTTTGCATAGTTTAAATATCTTCACACCCAAAACAAAGAAAGAATTTGTCCCTGGTTCACTATGCAGCTGAAAGGTGTCAGTGTGCATCATGGTCTAGCCCCAGGCTCAGGTGGACAGGCAGATGGCCTGGGGAGAGAGGGGGATTTTTTAATTCTCTCTAATCCTGTTGTTTTTAAGCCTGTTAGAAGAACTTGGTAAGAAGTTACTGGAGCAAGGCTGTGACTGAAGGGAAAGCGAGAACCACAGCAGAAAGCTGAGGGATACTTTAGAGAGGAGGGTTATGACTGAAGGATGTGTTTATCAGCCACTGAGCTTCAACTATGGAAGAAAAACAAGTCCATTAAATGTTCATCTAAATGGTACAGCATCATTAATCTGCAAAACAAAAACCTTTAATTTGTAAGGAGGCACACTGAAAATAAAATCACTCTTATTGCAAATCATATCCTTTGTTAAACAGATTTGTCCCTTCTTGGTTTTAGGTAACAGTGCTATTTTAAAAAGAAAGGCAAATGAGCAGAATACAGACTGGGAAGGCATGTGCATTATACCTACAGTAATGTCTTCAATAATTAACATAAAATCTTACATTTCTTAAGGATTTCCTCTAATACAGATGAATGATTATATATACAAACAAAAATATACACTTCCGGTCTAATACTTTAAAACACCTGGACCCGGGGAAGACTAGCCGTTTGCCATGGCAACAGCTAATGGGAATCCTTAATAAAATTACCTTATTAACATCTCAAGTTTTTATAATTATTTCTATTAAAGTTGTTCAATATCAAAGAATTGCTTTAAATGCTACAAATGTAAATGCTGAAGGTTAAAGGTCACCCAAAACTGAACAATATAAAAATTTCAGAATAAATTATCAGGTAAATTCAAAGTGTGTTAATAATTAAAAGCTATTCTGCACCAATGAAAGTGGTGCTACTGTCTGCATAAAAACTGAAGTGTATTGCTGCCTGCAAAAAAATGACAAGAAAAAGGCAATCAACATGGAAGAGTGACAACCATCATAGTCAAAAGCAAACATTTTGAGAGATTGAAAAGAAAGTTTTCCATTTTCTTCGCTATCAAAAGGCACTAGGAGAAACTCTGACTTATGGAGCGCTAGTAGAACCAAGGGTAAATAAGCGTTAACAGCACGCATTATATGACATGGTGATTTAATTGTAAACAAATGGTTATCTAACATACAAAGTCAACTATAAAGGTGATTTCCTTACATTTCAAAATTATCACTACTCTTCCAAAGAGCTGGACTCATTAAAATGTACGACTTGTTGGAGAAGCATGGTTAACAGACCCTTGTTTTTAAGAAAAGATCTTAACATGTCGAACTTTGTAATTTTAACATGACAAAATATTGGCAGGGGAGAATGAATACCTTTCCAAGACTCTGTACATTACTTCGTATCTGAAGGGTTGTAAATATATATATTTCATCAAGTATAATATAGCATTTTTCATCAGTATAATTTGACAAGTGTCACATTATACTGTTGACCACTGTAGAGGACTTATGTTTTGACTTAAAGAGGTAAAAGAATGAAAGTATGTAAAAAAAAAAAAAAGTATTTTAACTAAACTTGGAAAAGCCAATAAGGAAAAGAATGTCCATCTAGAAATAAACTCCATAGTCTGTGGGTTTGATTAAACTTTCCACCACAACTGCTAGTTAAACAAAAAAAATATTAGATTTATCAAAACGTTTTAATGCACAACAGAAAGAAACAGCATTCTGCAATCAGCTCCAGATTATTAAAAAAAAAAAACTAACAAAAACTCTTCCTATAAGAGATGATCTGTGTTAAAAAACAAAAAATAAATACCAACAAGCAAACAGGAAAAACAAACAAACAATAGGAGTATTATGTTAATTTTTCACAACAGAAGAAACAAACAGTACTGAACAGCTCCTTTCTAAAAAGCAGTTGAACTTTAGTGAATGAAAAGAAATCTGATCACTATTCAGCCAGTTCATCAATACAAATGTCCTCACAGAAATATATTTATTTTAAACTCTACTAAATAAAAAATGGAAGCTAGGGATAAGTGTAAAATAAAAAGAAAATAAAGTGTTGATCTCATGAAATTTTCCAAGCACTAATTTGGTAACTTTCAGTCTCAGTGAATGAACGTCTGTGTGCTCAGCACTGGCTCGCAGAAGACAGGTGTGCAGAACGAGTGTCTTGCTTTGAGGCAGCGAGATGACGGCTGGCTTCATCTTTTCCCCTCTGCGTTTTCCTCCTGAGGTTTCAGTTTAAATTATTACAACACAGAGAACACCTTTAACTGGAAAACAAGTCTAACAAACGAAAGCAAAGCAGGTAAACTTACTGCAAGTGCTCACAATGTTCCTTCACAAGCTACATGTTACCTTTGTCTCATTTTCAGAGGTCAGACTGATATCAGGATGCGACTTTGAATAAAAATTGAAACACCTAAACAACATTTCAAAAACATAGTTTCACAGATTCAACCTCTTATTTAAGCCGGATGTTCAGACGTTCTGATTTTTTCTCACCAATCATTATGGGTGTGGTTAAACGCAGGGACTTGAAATCATATCTAAAAGAAGTTTTTTTCCAGTTTACACTGAAATAAAAGGTCTTTAGCTCAGTATGAGCAATGCTTTATAATGGAGGCAGGAATGTGATGCACTGTGCAGCGGCGTTTCTTCATGTGTTTTTGCTGTCCAGGTTCTGAAGCCGGTAAAGGTTAAGGATCAAATCTCTGATCTCGTCTCGTTTTTTCCGAACCACTTGGCGTGGGAACCATTTTTGTAGCTGCAGAGGTAAATCGAAGTGCACCACAGGGTCCTGCAGCAGAGCAACAAAGTAGTTTATGAGCCCATCTGAAATAAAATCCTGTTAAATGTTTTTTATTAAAACCAATTCAATAAAAAAAAGGCCTTTACCTTTAAAAAACACTCAACATATTGAAGAAGGTAAAGGCCACAGTCACTGCTGTTATCCTGAAGGGGAACTATACAATGGGAGCTTTTCAGCTGATCAGGACCAAATTCCCTGGATGATCCTCGACGGACCTCCCATTCTGACTGCAGATACCTGGGGAAAAAACACACAGATCATCTTAAAACGCATTAAAATAAACCACAGCAGAAACATATCCTGAAACTCCAGGGGAGGATTTGTAAAACTACTGAATATTGTAAAAAAGTTTCCAACCTTTAGAAGAAAAATTCAGCAGAAAACAAAATAAATTGTCAGCGCTAAATACGTCTCCTTTTATCTGGCCATCTGTTTTCTATCATTTTCTTGCTGAAAGACTCAGATGATCTTTAGCGTTCTAACAGAGCTCAGATGTTTAAAACAGCCTTGTTTTAAAAGAACTGCCTGGAGCTGATAGTGCCTAGCAGTGAGGAAGAATAAACTGGAGCATCAATGATCTCGCCATCAAAAGTAGGCATGAAAAATTCAATTCTTTCATTATCCTGGAGCATGTTTGTTAAATATGATCCTATCACTCTTTTATGCCTTTGATAGCAGAATAGTCTTGTTCCTCTCATGTATCCAACACCATTTGTGGTATTTTGATTCTAACGGTGGTTTTGTAGACTTGGTGACCATAAGTGGCTCTCCCTTGCTGCAGGTCTTCATGGTTTCCATTTGTGGGTATTTGTTTCCCTTACCTGCCTACTCAAAGTGCCTGAACGACATCACTCAGTTTAAAATGGTCAACTTACTCCCGTAACAGTTTGCAGATCCGCTCATGCGAAGAGAGCTTGAGGGAATCCATGATAAGAATACACGGCCTAAAGGAGAGAGAGCAATCTGCATCCTTATCAAGTATATTTCAGGGGGTTCCTCTTGGTAATGGCTTTAGAGTGCAAATAAAACAGTTCAAGTCAGGGCTCAATACTTTTAGACAATTACCTTTAAAGGAACTTTGCATCATGTTTTCATCAACCTGACAAAGCTAGTGAGCTAATCTAAGTAGCACTATTGATCACTCATGTAGATCAAACTTGAGAAAGTTTAAACTTACAAGCAACGTTTGAACAACACGAGAAAAAAAAAATGTAGCCAACATTGTAGATAACAATAAGCTATAATAATGCCTGTAAGCTGAAACTGAGGGAAACCCACCTTTTGCAGACTGTCCGTCTCCGACACGTCTGTTCTGTGCAACTCTGTTGGAAAAAGGGAGATTGTTACTGACTGAATTATGAAAATCATCAAGAATTGTAGGAATTAATAAACCTGTGAAGCATAATAATAGCAGCTCTTACAACTCGACATGGTGGTGGCGGATCTTTAGTCGACTCATCCAGATGATTTTCTAAAATACATAACATCCATCTTAATTCAGCCATTATTGTCCGGGTCATAATAATCCTGATGGTGCTATTCCTACCCGTCTCTGTGTTCACACCGTCACTCGGGTCTAATCGCTCCAGGGTTTCTGCAGGATCAGAACTTTTACATTCTTTGGCCTCATCTGGACCCTGAGACTCTCCCAGCCAGTCCTCCTGCAGAGGCTCTTCCAGTCCAGGAAAGCAAATCATAGCTAAATACCAGTGAGCTCTGCACAGAGGGAGAAGTAAAAGGGTTTAGGATTTGATATACGTGGCCGTAAAACAGTTGATTCTCAAAACTCTGCTTACTCTTGATTAACAGGCACAAACAGGAAGTCCTTTTCAAAGATGTCCACGTGTCGCGTCCACGTCTTTACTCGCTGGTGCCGCCTCTGCCTCTGACAACTGAGACCATAAACAGATTAAAGAAAACTTGGCTATTTATGAGCGACAGCCTTTAAATGTCTTTGTTTGAAAGAAAAACAGAAAAATTTGGTTAGAGAGCAAAACATCAAATTCAAAACTGACTTTCAACGAACGCTAAATGCCACAACCTCGTCCAACACGATTTTCTGTCAGATTGGATGCAAAATCGGATTTGGTTGGTTCTGGCCTTTATTGGCTCACCAGCCGTTAAGGGAGGGTGGCCATGCAGAGGGGTTGATGTGAAACATGTCTGAGCTGATCTAGCTATAGTATTTAGCCTTAGTATTCCAATATGATCCAATGACTTTTTTTTTGGGAGACACCATACAGACAGGTGAAGCTCGACAGGCCCACCTGACCCCAGATTAACTTTATACTTTATAACAGGTATGAGGGTTTTTTTACATTAATCTAGATTTTTCACTGTTCATGCCCCACAGAAATATAATGTCTTAGATTACCCATTTAAACTTCCCAATTCAAAATTCCTACACATTCTAAACCGCTGAATTATAGAAAAAAGTTGCAGTTAATTTATAAAGGACCCTGAATGAAACCACAGGGCAAACTTTGAGATTATTAAAGGCAAAATACTCTGAGTTTTCCAATGTCTTCCAGAGGCAGAGTGTTGTCCTAATCTCCCAAACCAAGTTGGTTTCCCTGACATGAGAACCAGCCGTTCAGACCAAAGCTGCTTCACTTACGAGTCGGTACTGCCTCCTTCGCTGGCGTTGTCCCTGCGCGTCAGCTGCTTGTAGAAGAAGCTGCTGAAGATGTGGGAGCGTTTAGAAATGGCAGCGGAGGATTTCTGGATGAGGTATCTGTTTAGATAAAAATATCACGAGTCATTCGAATTAAATTCTCTTCACAAAAATAACAAAAACAGAGAAAAATGGGGAAAGTCGCTTAAAAGGTCAAATATTGAAATGGAGGGACTTACTTAAGGTAAAAATCGATAATGACATCGTTAAGGTACTGCCAACTGTCAAGGCATTGCAGATCTTCCATTGTTACTGTGATTCCTCCTTTCAAAGGTGGTGGAGGAAACTGTATTAACCTGAGATAAACAATGGAAAAGGTCATATAGTGTTTTACAACTGCATATTACAATTATATGGTCTATATTCATAATCAATAATTCTCTCTTTAGTAATAGGATAACAGCAGCAGGGATTCTTGTTTGAAAGACCATCTCCAACCAGGAGGGATAATGTGGGTAGGTCACTTCCAGAGGTTAGTATTAACTAAGGTGCATTTATTAGAGTAAAGTTTTGAAAGAAAAAAGGTTAAAAAAAAAAAAAAAACTACCACATTTTTATTCTTTTAAAATCATGCTATTCTAACATGACTAAAACAAGTAACCTAAACTATTCAGAGATCAGGGGAACTACTTAATACCCCTTTGGGATTATTAAAGTATTATTCTATTTAAAAACAGTGAACAGCAGATATTGTCAGCAGGAATTTTTCACTGTGCTCTAAAATGTACCTACTGGAAGAACTTATTGTATTATGTTTGTGATGAACAAAATATTAATTTGTCTTTATTCTACCTTATTTTTGATTGTGTTACTTTTTTTCCTTATTTCAGTGTACCACAATTTGCGCAAAAAAAAAAAAAGTCAGTAGGAGTGTGCCAATCTAATATCAATATTAGAAATTGGTCCAATTTCTGCAAAAGACACTTATCAGATTATATGAGCGTACATCTAATAACTTAGATGAGCATGATAGAACCACTCCATCGCTTTTTCATCTCCAGCATTTCTATCCAGCAGCGCTTTTATCCCACACACAGTCTACCAACTCACTGGACTACAAGCTAAAGTCCGACAAACGTGTAAAATTTGTTTGGGTCTTCTAATGCACCTACTTTATATGTAGCCATTGATTAATAATTAATGGGTCGGGTGTTTTCATAGGTATTGTTCACAACCGACTCTTAATAAAATAACTACAAACCTTTTCTGACATTCAGTATTACAAAATAGGTATTGGAAGATCGTATGGTTCATGCTGCCATCATATCAGGTCAATACTTAATGGAGCAATATTAAAACCATATAAGACATGAACAAAGTATTGGGACACAGCTACCAATTCAAATATTTATAAACCATAAATCAAATGTTACATGAACAAGTAATAACTCCGTACTTTTTGCTCTTACACGTAGGGATGCAAGGCATTGATTATTGAGTTAATCAAAGGTTGACTGTCTTATCGAATGACCAATAACTGGCCTGCACTTATATTTGCCTTTTCTACAATGTAGCCACGGCTGCTCTGGGGGAAATTAAAGAAGCAAGGTTGCCGTACACTAGCACTGCTCTCTGATGGATAAAAATCTCTTGTGTCATTAAAGGTCATATTATGCAACATTTAAAAAGGAAACTTTTTAACCACGAGGCCCCAAGAGCAGGTTTGTGTTGCTTGTGCATGAAAATTCTCCTCCCATTAGGCAGACAGCATGCACCAGGAATCTCCTCCTTTAGCACTTTTCTCAACAAGCTGTTTTGGCTTTCCACTCCCCCCACACCCTGAAACCATGACAACCAGTCAGAATTCATAAAGAAAGCAGCTAGGATCCGGAATAACATTAAATGAAAGCTATAGCCTGGCCTGTGACCTGCTACAGGTCACTCTGGATAACTCAGCTTCTCTTATGACATCATAAGGGGAGAGCATTTCAAACAGAGCACACATTAGCCAAGAGGTGGAGAAAGGCAATGATGGAGGTCAAAAGGTTTTTCTTCATTTGTCAACCTCGTACACGCTTTATGTTACAGAATGTTTCTAGTGTGAATTTTGCATAATACCTTTAGCTCACTAAAGCCCACCCAATCAACCCTATTGGTTTAGTGTCTTTCTATCAGGATTCAAATGTTTTACGAAATGTCTTCCACTCTTTATCGCACACTCATCCTCCTCGCACATCAGCCCTTTCTGGTTGGGAAGTAGACGCTGCTCAATCATAAGGCTGCATGGAGGAGTTTCCTTGTTTTCATTTACAAACAGAACCGTATAGAATTATTCTGCATTATAATAATTCTGAATGTTTGGATCGTTTCCCTTTTTCTGTTCTACCATGCCTTAGGCAGGATTATTTCACTTTCAACCTTCGTCTAGCTTAAGGAAGAACAGCGGTACCCTCTTCTGGTTTGAGACCACAATTCAACACTGGAAGGAGGAGATTTTAACATTTAATGAGAGGGAACAGTTAACATAATAATAATTTGTTTGCATCACTACTCGTTATTTCTTTAATAACTTTTACTTAAGAAAATGAATATGATTATTGGGTACTCTACCCTCCTCTGAACAATTCTTACCTTTTACTCAGACCCTCATGCTTATATTTTATCCAGTTGGAGTCTGGTTTACAAAGAGACACAGAGTAGGATCCTTTTCTTCTTTGATGACAAACCGTATAAACAGGCACGACTTCCTCCTTTTTGCTCTGTGGGAGTAAATGTAACCAATTAAAGGTTTTCAATCTTCTGTTCAGCACCTTAAACTGAGGGCACTAAAAACCAAGATGTTTCAATATATTAATAATAAACAAAAAACAAAAACAAGTCTTCTATTACTGAACCAGGAAAACATCTAAAACATGCAGGATTCATCTCAAAGACCAGCTTTTTTTTTTCTGACCCTCGACTTATCCTATATTTGACATCTTACAACTTTTTTTGCAGTTTTGCCTCATTTCAACCATTCAAATATCAAATTAATAAGAGAGAAATCATTTCATCAGGTAGACATGGTGATTCATATTTTTGCGATTTCTTTTTTGAAGATATAAATCAGGTTTCAGAAACTTTATAGCATAAATCCTTTGTTATCAAAGGCACCAATCCTGATGTTCAGTTTAACTTCAAGAGCTATCACAAAAAAAAAAAAAAAAAAAACATCCCTCAAACCAATTCCTTATAAAATGAACCATGCAAAGGAAACACTTATCTATTCCAAGATATTCAAACTGAACACCACCTTGGGATTAAAGTAAAACTAAACCACTGAAATGTTCTTTTTCATTTTATAACAGGGAACTTGACGTATTACTGGCAACTTTGTACCAACACATGCCAAAATGGAGTAAAAACGCATGTTTTAATCATTTCTGGTCATCAGGTTTTTATGTAGTATGTGTCAATTAGGAAATCAATGTGTTATGCTAGGAATACGGAAGATTTTACATAAAAATGGTAGTATGCTTTGGTTTGACAACAAAATGTCGATCTGGCTGTCATTTAGGATCAGAGGGAGACTATAGTTATGTTCAAACTGCAGGTCTTAAGGCTCTATTCCGATTTGTCAGTTTTTTTGGGTGGCTTCTCACATGACTGTATCAAATTGTGTCCCTGAAGTGACCTGCATGCGTAGAAAAAAAACAGAGGTGCGAGAAGTCGATGTTTATGGATGGATTTAAAGCTGTTAAGCAAAGGAAGTAGTCGGATGATGCAGCAATGCTCAGAAGGAGAGAAAAGAGAAAGAGCGGAAATATTTATTATAGATTTTGGACGAGCAGAGCCCATAACATCTTAGGAGAAATGCATGGGAGCACCGACATAATCAACTGACCTGTTAGAGTATGACCCCCCCAGTCTCTTTTGGACCATTATATACATCCAGATACCAATATCATTCTCCCTCCAGTGCAGTGTTTTTTCTGTAACCGTTTTTGTTCCCCACTGTCAGTACAGAGTGACATCAGCTACATGCTAAATCCAATATGGGTCACTTGGCTGTTCAGATTGCAGTCAGATTCCAAAAGATTTGACCTGTATTGAATTTAAAACCAGATACAGATGTGGCCCAGACTGGATTTGAAAAGATCAGATTCCATGCGACTCTGCCTGTTTACACGGTCAGGAAATAATCGCAACTGAGTCGCTTCAGGGTCAAAAAACGATTTGGCCCGAATTGGTCTGTAGTGTGAATGAAGCCATTTTCAATGAGGCCCAGACTGTTCATAACCTCCCCCATCCATTCCTTCGATGAATGCAACACAAAACGGCGTCTGAATGCATAAAGTAGTGGGAGGAAGTATTATTGGGACCCAAGCTATTGGAACAGAAACAAAGAAGCTCAATTATTGACACTTTGTTCAGCTTTACAGGAGGTCATCATGCAGCTAATAAAGGCAATGACAAATTACTGTGATGAAATTATACCTTTTGCAAAAGCAACAGATTCAAATCCCACATGCTTTATTCTTTTTGCTTGCAGGCTAGATATTTTAGCATGTAGTAGACTTATTTAATAATCAATATTTGCCCGCATGAATGTTTACCAGCAGTTGAAATAATTGCTACTTTTCAATTAGGGTATATATTTGTTTAAACACAATACTTCCACTTGGTGTAGTTCCATAAGTTCATACCAAATCATGTCTAGGAGGTACATGCATCTTCCAAAAATTGTGTAAAAAAAGTGACAAAGAAAATTTGTAGGGAATCACTCACATCAGAGGGAGTCTTGGGTTCCTCATCCTCCTTATCCATATTTCGTTCAGCTTCAGCGGCTCCATCTTCTGTTTTTTTCTCAAGAGGCATCTCTGTGTCTTTCTCAACATTAGTATCCACCCAGATGTGGGCAGTGGGGAGATCTTCTTCATCACAATCTGAAGGCTCCTTTTCTACAATCAGGTCAGAGTCAGGGCTCTTAATGCAGAGTATGGAGAGCAGATAAGAGTCGGCGCCAATGTTTCTGATCAGCTTTATGCTATCATCCATTGAAAGCACTGGAGAATCAGAATCCAATAAACTATTAGGTTGGACCCCGTCATTGTTTTTAAAGCGGTTGTCATATGTCATTCCATTGATGCAGTCGATGTCCAGTAAGGAGCGCAGTAAAGCTCCCTCCATTCCCTCCACAGGATCTTTGAGAGTCAGTAAGATGAAACGGCTGGCTTTTCCTTTAAGATAAAAGAAACATATTTAAACTAAAAAAAAGAAAAAAAAAATCATATATATTTGAACATTTGAAACAAAAAAAAAATCATAAATATTTACACAACAATGTAAATGTAAAGGAGGAGATAAATTTAAACACATTTGTGTCCGCCCTGCGCTCTCACCATTATCTACGGGTCCATCTTCACTGTCGCAGAGCTGGTTCAGTACCTGCTGTATAGGACCAGCAGCAGTTTCTGACACATATAACAGCAGGACGCCAGGTGGTGAAGGATCCTTTTCCCCCTCAAAGCGAATGTGATGAGCTTCCAGCTCCTGCTTGTCCCAAACACTGTACCTCCGCAGATCTGTGCGCACAAAAGTCAAAAACCCCTGCTCGCTCGTGCCTGAGGACAAAAGGGATCAGGATAAATTCATGAATTTTAACCCCAGTTTAAAATATCTTAAAACAATTGGGATTATTTCCCAACTTTTGGCAAATTTAAAGGACCTTCAGGCTTTAAGGCCAGGATTTTTAAAGGCCTGTGATGACTGTTATGTAGGGGTGACCAAACTTGTTGCTAGGATACAACTTAAAAACCCATCAGTATCACGTCCTGACACATGCTGATTGTTGCGCTGTGATTCTGTCAGCCCCTCACAGTCATGTGACCTGCTATGCACACTGTGCTAAGATTCTAATCTTAATTGTATTACTTGTATTACCTTTGTAGTACTTAAGTAAAAGTATTGATACTCTTAGTCAAATATTACTCAACGGCAAGCAAGAAACAAAAAAAACAAAAAAAAAAAAAACTATAAGTAAAAGTTACTCGGTCAAACATCTACTCAAGTTCAAGTATTGAAGTACCGACTTTTGATGTTCTTTTTTGGGGTGGATCATCTAAATAAGTGGTCCTCCTAATTGTCAATCATTCTGATGATATGTTTACGTAAGGCAGTCCTAAGTGCTCGCCCCGTTAGCTATCTTTCAGCGCACGCGCACTTTCAGGCGCATATCTGTGATGAGTCATTGAAGCTCACCTTTCTCACCAAGGTTCTTTGAAAATGGCCAAGAGTTGTAAGAGAACAAGTGTCTACGAAGTGTATGAGAAGACAAGAAACTCCTCAGAGAGGAAGCCCAGAATGCTTCGTACAGAGAGCTCTCCTCGCAAAGCATTATGGGATTCGATGTCCCATAGGCTGTCGCCACCCGACAGCAGCGACTAATAAAGATGGCACAGGCACCGCGCTGTGGAGGAGTTACGTGACCAATGGAGCAAAGAGCAGTGATCATCTGTCCAAACGGTTAGTTAAAAGAGTTTGCTATAAAGTCCACTATACATTCTGCACTCTATATAGTGATTGAGGGATTTAGGGTGGACGTTCGGAAACAGCTTATATAAGCTATGAGAACAGCAACTTTTAAACAAAGGAGAAATGGGCTTGGGCATGCTGTCACATGCACATTTTGGCTGGTCTTTTCAAAAAATTGCAAAAATCCTCCACAATACCTTTAATGTAGGAAACAGCTGTGTGGAGAGCAGCTAAAATATTACTTACCGGTATCTTTTTTTTTTTTACAGCAACAAAAGGTATGAAAACAACCGACCCGTGTAATATTAACCCATGAGTTACAAAAACTTAAAACAGCAGAGTATTTCTATTAGCATGAAATTTTGGAGACTTTAGATGTCAACTGATCTATTTTTTTTGGCTATATCGAACTGACATCCGTTATTAGTATCGCCTCCTGACATCCCGACAAATACAAAAGAAACTACATTTAAAGATAAAAGAATGGAGCCACAAAAAACGGCGTGGAAAAGAAAACTGGGAGAGGCAGTGAGAGGCGATCCTCCAAAAGCTTTGTGTGAAGTTTACCAACATTATTCTTTTCATCCTGAAGGTGATCACAATGTAAAGCAGGAATAAAAAAGGAGCTGATATGAGAAAGCAGTCATTGTCCTGTAATCTGCCTCGTTAGGATTATTCTCAGACATTTTGGGGGGTTTTAAGCTCAATTAGTTAAACTTTTTTCATTTGTTTTTAATCTGTTTTCTGTGCTCTAAGGATAAAATAGACACAGTTTATTGAAATATTTCATTTATTGTACATTTCCAAGTCTGCCCTGCTTGCTACTTGCTTTTTATTTGACCTTTATTTCACTAGAAAAGAAATCCATTGAGAAATGAAATCTCTTTTAGAAGGATTTTACTTTGCATCCTTTTCAAAGCGGATGTTTTACTCTCCCTTCCTGAGTCATGATGTTCCTGTCACATTGTTGCACAGGTCCAACTAAAATAGACCAGCAGTCTACCTCAGTCAGAGCCACACAAGAGCAGCTGGAGAGACAATTTGCTGTTCCTCCTTGCTGAAGTTTCAATAATTCAGAGGATTTCATACGACTGTGGGATAAAAATGAAAAAAAATCAGATATGCAACTCCCCCTTTATAATAATCAAATCCTAGACAGGTCATAGTAGGTCCATTATCGAAACATATGCAAGAGCTATGAATAAGTAACTGAAATAACTAGTCATGGTGAATTCCATTTAGATGCCTGTGATCCCACAAGGTGCAACATACCGACATTGAATCTTTGTTTCAAATTACAGCTATCACTGGGCAATTTACTTGTTTCCATTTAAGGCAAAATTAAACTAAAGTAAAAAAGAAAAAAAAGGCCTAGAGGATAAGGTGCAGATGGAATCTTGAAGCTTTAATCCAACTACATTCAACTAAAATAGAACACTAAGCTACAGAAATATGGTAGAAAGCTCGATTAGAACAAGATAAAAAAAAAAGGGTTCTTTATCAGCAGTAAAGGAACCACCAGTTAAAACTATTGGCACCAAAGGTTCCAGGTAAACCCTATATCTAAGGAAACAAAAAATACAATCCAACAAGCTTAAGGCGCATCTTCTGCTAGGGATTCAACCAAAGGATTCCAGGCTTTGGTCACGAATTAAATAAGATTACTGATTGTACAATGGCTTATATGCATAAATGAATAATAGTTACCTTTAAGTGGGATGACAATCTTATTTTTTGCTATCTGTGAAAGACAAGAAAGAGTTAAATTTTTATTTTAAGACAGATGCCTAGAATAAAACCTATCAAGGTTATACCAGTGCCTTTACCATGAGGCATCCATCTGCTCTCAGTTTGTAACATCCACAGTACATGGCCACGAAATGTACACTCAAAGAGGGAAAGTCAAACTCTGGGATGGGAGAGGACGGTGCTGAATGTGGAAACTCTTCAACAAGCATCTGCATTCCCTGAAAACAAAAAACAATGTTGGTCAAAATACTAATTTCACAACAGCCTGAGATCGTATCAATATTAAGAGGTACAAGAGTTGATTTAGGTTTGCATTTTTCACACTGATGTTTTCCAAAACTACTTCATTTTGTTTACTACTTTGGCACCATCTAGTGGTAAAAACACAAATGACGCTTTGAGTAACTTCCTGCTGAGGTCAAGTTACAAAGACCTCTGAAAAAATCATATCCTGAATAAAGCAACAGTGATATCTAATCCATCGCTGCAAAGGCAATTCTGTATGATTCAAACATTTTAATACAACACTTTGTTATGATAGGGAAAGTGACTGAAACTATTTTAACTGTACCATAAAAAATGTTTGAAGTTGCACCAATCGTCCTGATCTTTTTAGGGGAAAAAATGTCTTAATTGGATTTGATCGGTGAGCAGCAGCTCAAATACTGAAAAAACCTTTTTTTTTCTGCAGTCTAACAATTAACAAAACATAAGGAATTTTAAAAAATAAATACTTTTGCCTTCAGTGCATACATACTTTAATAGAAAAACTCAAGATGTATAAAATGAACGTTGCAAATGTTTGAATATTTAAGAAGCCAGGCAACTTTTCAAATCCACAACAACAAGTTAAAAAGCACAAAAAATTGCCAATAAAATGAAAAGTGGCTCCATCTATCTAATATAAACTAAAAGATCAACAAACCCAAAGTTTGAGTTTGAGCTTTTATGATTTGAAGAGTAGGTTGAGGTATTTGGACATGAACTGTTGTGAGACGTTAACCATCAGTAACTGTGTCTTTATTAGGGCTGGACGATATAGAAAAAAAGCTTATCAATTAAAAAAAATGCATATTGATCGATATTGATAATTATTGAAAAGATTTGAAACCATATTTTATGTGCAGCTCTGCCTGGACTTTTTATAATATTGCTAAATGATTTAATTTTAATAAAGAACACAAACACAGACTTCCAATTAAATATTTAACCAACTTTTTTAACCATAACAGAATTGTTTTAAAGAAAAATAACTTAAAAGACCTGAGTTATGTTATTAAATACTGACAAAGAATAAACTAAA